ATTGAACGGAGTAAGTCTAGGTAGACTTACTCCTAGAGTAAAAGGATCTCTCCTCATATATATATATATATATATTATTTGTCAAAATATTATAAAGTTTTATTTATTTATTTTTTTAAATAATTTCAGTCTTGTAATTTCCCTTTTTCTTTACAATAAACTTTGATATTATTTGTTAAGTATCATATATTTTTAAATGAGGAGGGATCCACTTAGACATACTTTTCTTAATAATTCATGTTCTATATTAAATTTTAATGACCTAATTATTGAATTAAAAGTTTTTAATGCATACATTAATTCTGTAAATTTTTAAAAAAATTTAAAAACTATTTGATATTTTGTTTCATTAATTCAAATTAACATATAAAATAATTTTATGATTATTCGTTAGTTTGAATTAATAAAATTGAGTATTAAATAATTTTTATGTTTTTTAAATTTGCATAATTGATTTATACATTAAACTTTTAATTCAACGGTTGAATTGTTAAAATTTAATATAGAATATGAATTATTAAGTGAAGTAAAATCTAAGTAAACTTACTTTTAAAGTAAGTAGATCCTTCCTCTTTTTAAATATGACAGGTTCATATTAATATAATTTAATTATTATAAATATTTTTTTAGTCCATAAACATGATTCATTCAATATCTCAAAACTGATAATTAATAATTAATTTAAGCTTGCAGAGCATGGATTCTGCTAGTGAAACATTATTTTAACATGTACGGAAATCAAACCTTTGTTTAATGGTATTTTATTTTTAAAAATAAATTTTCCATCATTGCTCATTGCCTCTTAACTAGTATTTTATTTTTGCAAAATAGAAGACTATATTTTGTGTGTGTGCGTGTGTGTAAAAGAAGAGATCTGCGAATTTTAAAAGATTTTGTAGAATTTTTTTTGCATGATTCTGCAAGACTTTAAATTAAAATTTTAATGAATTTTGCAAAACTTTTAAATCATGATTTTAATGGATTCTATAGGACTTTGTAAACTTTGCAAAATTTAGTAGATTTTTGACATATGATAAGAGTTCAAGATTTTTTTTCATATATTCAAATTTAAAAAAAAGTCAAAGACAAAAATAATTAAAAAAACCAGCAAT